GGGATCTTCAGCTTCGGTCTTAGTGTCTATAAGGCCGACAAAGTACCCGTAAATCCTACACCTGTCGCACTGCAATGAGAAGCTGAATCTTTGAGCCTGAAGGTGAAGATGGAGCATATGGTAACATATAGGAGCTCTAAAGGACGTCATGGACTTCGGATCTCGGATGAAACTACCGACCAGCAGGCTTGGCAGAGCCGAAGACGTATCCCCGACATTGCCACACTACTCGGATTATGGGAAAGGATACATCGACCACAACACGGTCAACGTCGAGGCCTCAAGGATTTTCGAACTGAGGCTTGGATTGAGTACGCTAGCACGGATTGTTCTGCTGACTAGACGTCGCCGTGTCCAAGCAGAGAAAACAACAAGTTGGCAAAGGCAACCCTGAATGTAGCAAGGGTGCTCAACCCATGAATGACAACTACTAGCCCTGCTTGAGGCTTCATGCCTGGGACTATGCATATACCTATTGGAAATTGATCCTGATGTTCTGACAGGAAACTGAAACCGATACGTAGATTACCTCCATGCAAAACTTCTTACAGTAGGACGGTACAACCATCACCCAGAAGTCTCTTATATGATTGAGAGTGCGAATGCCAAGATACCATATCCAGACGACATACCCATGACGACGGTTGTGGCTCACTTGATGCTCCAATTCGCAAGTCTCGGGACCCCTACTCTACTCTACACGCAGGTTATGCACCTCGGAGAATGACAGGCAATGTTCTCCGTGGAGGCATTTTTTAACTACAACAGCCAGAAACACTGAGGCAAGTGAGCATGACAGAATCAACAACTTCTAGAGCTTCTAGCGGCTTGGCCGTCTGCTGTCGAGGAGTCCGCGCTTAAGGTTTTGGGATGGTTTGAGAGTTTCCCTCAGTTCCTCTAAATCAACCTGGTGTCAAGGCCAGCCGGATGCAGTACGGGACCACCATGCCAGCAGAATTAGCAGAGATGGCTTCGGCCATAGTGCCAGGTGTGATGCACTTCGTCTGCACGGAAGCGTCCGGGTGGAACCTTGCCGCCTCAATGTCATAGCTCCTGCCAAGGAGAAGAGGACCCCAGCAGCAGGGTGATCCCCAGCCCCGTTGATGCGAAACACTCTCTCCCTCTCTCTCTCCATCGTCATTTCTCCCCAGATTCTTCTCCTGGCTAGTAAAGGTTCCAGCGTGGTGTGAAGCAGGTAAGACTCCTCCTTCAAGATGGTGCCGCCCGAATTCAAGCAGGTGAGGGCGGGTGCTCCACTGCTTTTCAGTCTTAAGTCAAGCCCCAGCATCCATGCAGAACCCAGCTGCGCACTTTGCTGCGGTGAATTCAGAAGCCTCCGCAGCACAGAGGAGTTGTAGACCCTGGTCCCGCTCGTGGTGTCGCCACCGAAGCAGTGCGACATGTCACCGAAATGTGGCTCGGCCCATGAACGGTAGGCGAAAGGATAGCGGACCGCGGACAGCTTCCAGTATGCATTTCGAAGCTGCAGAATGGGCCATGCCCAAGTCCCGTTTGATGAGGTAGGCAAGCCCACAACCTTTCAGGACGTGGTGATCAACAGCCAAGTAATACTTAAAACCCTGTTGCTTCAGTAAATCTCGTGCTGGTGGTCATACCTGAAGGGTTCGTCTGACACGCGCGCGGTCCTTAAGCGTGTTTCTTGGCAATAGTAGACCACGCATGATCTCGACGAAAACAATCTACTGCTGGCAGACCACTGGCAGATTGACAGCGCCTTCAAGCAGCATTGGGCAAATGGGAAACTTTGGGCTGCCAATGGAGCCTGTACGAAGTCCCTGAGGTGGCCCCCATGGGACACCCCCATTAAGCTCTTATGAGCTTTGTGTGTTGGATGCCTTGGTGGCACTGTGTTCAGGGTCCATGTGCTAGGCCTGAGAGCTTTGGAAACTTTCTGGTGGCAGGTGGGCTCTTAATAGACGTATATAGAGTCTTCAGCTCTCACATGCACAGTCGCCATCTGATGTTGGTGTCTCAAGCTGTGGTGCAGGCTGCACCGTTGGCTTCTAGCAACACAACACTGCATCCCGATGATACTTGATGCCTCCTAGAAGAAAAAGGGCGTTGTCAGAGTCACACTGGAAACAATTGTGCTATGAGTATGTTCGCGGAGGTTGTTGATGTGGACTCTCATGTGCTGGGAATCGGGATCTTCTGCCCACAAGCATGAAAGTTCGACTGCTGTTTTTCGGTTTTCTCTGTTGTGTGACAAAAGCCCCCCCCTCCCCCCAGACCCGACCCCCCCGACAAGCCTTGGGCGGCTTCTAAAATTTCGAACAAGGCCGAGGCGGTCGACATGCAGCATGTAGAGTACTGCACAATTGCATCCTGGGGGCCCTGGGGAAACCCTGTAAATTTTATACATCTGTAATTCATCCCTTATTCGCAAAACAAATCAACAAGACTTCCAGGCCTTGGCACGCGCGTCGGTGTACACAAACCGCGTCACATAGTCTAGTCCCAGACCTTCCTCTAAAATGCGGAAGTCGCTGATTGTTGGAGAAAGCAAAACCTCGTGCTCAGTGTCTCTCATGTAGAATTTGAGGCCTACATGATGTGGGGGTTGGGTTGTGAGTTGTGGGCGGGCCATGACCGTTCTACAAGTATGTTGGTCGCCAACCGTGTTCATCCTCACATGGATGTGCAAAGAGTGAAAACGGTCAAGACGGCCATGGTGCGGCAGCACCAATCTCCAGCGCATGGAATCTGTTTGCACGCAGGCGTTCGTCGTAGAAACGGAAGCAGCTTGCCAAGAGGTCGCTGTCACCGAGGAGGCTGCTTGAAGGATCATGCAGTGACAGTGCATAGTTCATCCCGACCATCATCAGCAGGTGAAAGGCAAACGAAGTCACCTTGGGACCACAATACAGGATGTGGCCCAGCAGCGTCCGCGAGTTTCCCGCGAACCACGAAGGGACACAATGGACCCCCGCAGGATGCTGCGCCTCGCCCCTGCAGCGCGCGTGGTACTCCTTCCCCAGCGAACCCCACGTTTGGCCTCTGCCCAAGGCATTTGCGACGCTCACTTCTGGTGGTCTCACGCAGCAACGTTCAGGTGGGAAGCCCGCCCCGAAGCATGTCTCGAAATGCGTCAAGCAGCACCAGCTTCTGAGAGGCCCGCTGGCATAGACGTCTCCCCTCCCACCGAAAGAAGCCCAGCAACGAAATGTGTCGAGTAGCCAGATGCTCGGTGCCGTGGCTTCCTTGCAACAAGAGCTCTCCTTCCCACCAGCTGGGCACTCCTGCACTGACGTGCGGAAGGCGCATACACCATAACTTCCAAGCTCAATCTATAGGGTCGCGAATTTGGCGTCGGATTATGTCTAGCTTGCCTCAGTCCTCAGCCGAAACCTTGGGGGGGTTTAGGTCGAAAGCGTTTCGGGGGTCGACCCTCAGATTCAAGAACCCTGTGTGCATCCTGTATGCGGTGGTCCAAGCAGCAGGTTCGAAAGGTGGCTTTGCCAGAAAAACAGGGCGCCATCGGAGCTTCTGGGTTTCGGGCTCTTTAACTGGTGTGAGGGTTGGCACAGGGTTGGGGGGGAAAGGGTGGTGGATGGATTTGGAGTTTCTCCTAATAGCTCAAGTTTGGGATCCTAGGCACATGGTAGAGGGCTTAGGCTTAGGGTTGAAGGCTTCAGAGCTTGGGAGTTTGGGCCTAGGGGTGGACTCCAAAATGCATGGTCTTTTGCCTTGATGCTGGTCAACGGTGATGCATGCGCATTTCCGGTCGGCTAGGGCTTCTTTGGCTTTGGCACTTCCGTGCAGGGGCTTAAGAGTGCTAGACCCATTGGGGAACCAAGCTGTGACACCAGCCCACAACCCCCAACCGAAGTCCAGATTCCAGAGCCAACCAGCTGGCAAGCCTACACCTGAGCCTCGATGATCGCAGGCTGGTGTAGGTCTCCAAGTGCAAGGGCTGCAGCTCGGGTCCAGGTAGTGCAGGCAGGTTTGGGTCGAGATCTGTTTCAGAGTGACTATAGGGGATGTGTTGATTCGGTGATTAGATCTCTTGCCTTGCCGTCAAAGGTCTTCGAGGGGTGGGTAGAAGTTTTTCTTGGCACAAGCGAGCTTCAGTCCCATGTGTCCAACTTTGCGAAGGCATCCGGCATCGCACCCTCCCGGAAACCAAGCTCAGAAGAGTCACCCTCCGGTAAGCAGGCACTATGACCTGGACATTCGAAGCCTTTGACCTCAGCTCAGAAGCCAATTCGACTCACTCAAACCTTATGAATCTGAACCCTGAACCACCCATACCCTATGTTTGGGACGAGTGCGGATCAGGTTTGCACGGCAATGGAGCCCGGATCAACCAGGGAAGTTCAGGATTTAACAAACACGGGGCAGTGGTGCCAGATCTGTTCTAGGTATGAATCTGGGGCTGCTAGGATGGCTCTGGATCGTTCGCCTGTTTTTGCAGCTGGACGCCCCTTGGTGCGGGAAATCTTTCGCACGCGCATGTTAGAGGAGAGTGACTGTTCTGGAGCTATAGGACTTTCCTGCCCATGGGGAGGGGGGAGAGGGTGGATGGGGGGTAGGGCCGCCGAGAAAATTCCCTTTATCTCCGCACCCCCCACCCCCCTGTCTGTTCCTCGGAAACGAAGAGGCGTTCCATGAGCCTCCTTCCTCTTGTTGGGCAAGGAGGCTAGTTTCGAGTCTAGAGCAAATTCCTGTCAACCATAATCCCTCACCCGGCCTCTTTGCTCCACCGCCTACTTTCCCCTAGCACACACGGAGGCTGGCAGTATAGCACACTTTCAGGAACCTTCAAGCGTCTCCCCTTCTGAAGGGTCAAGAAGCTGGTGGCAGTCCTCTCCCATCCTTCATCTTTCGAGGAGCCGTGTCGCTCCTGAATCGCATCCACTGCAGCACGTCGCTATTGACCTGAGGTGTGGGGCTCAGGGCAAAAAGCCATCCTGAAAACTCAACTCACCGAACTCTAGTGAGAGAAGTTAGAGCTGAACTCATGCCCCGTTAGGCTTTGAGATCTGAAACATCCTGAAACCGCAAACTAGACCCTGGACTCAAACTCACAAGCCCAGGAGCCGTGACGGGCAGTGAGTACAGCTGCGTCTCTGTGCGCGGCAGTGCCCGAGTGATGCCAAAGCTTTTAAGCGCCAGCCAGAGATCGATTTCCTTGCTCTTTTTCGGCAGCACTTGAGGGATTGTGATTGGCTGCAGGTCTCGGCTGAGGCAGAAACTCCCTTTGACGAATAGATTTGTGCATGGTTCCAAGATGTTCCAAGCAAGTAGAAGTACAAGGAAACGCCAGGTGAACCTGAGGCTCGAAGCCGGATTTGGGGCTGGGCCGAAGGGGAGTGGGGACTAAGTTGCAAACTAAGCCTCAGCCGTGACATTCAGATCTGGGTCCTGGTACTCCGCCTGGAGATGGACTTCCTCACCTCTGGGGGCCATTGTTCGGAGACAAGGAAAGCATGGCCCAGGTATGTTAATTTTAAGGCGACTTTAAGCAAAAGCCCCGCAACAAAATCCCAAGAACCAGCACAAGAATGGCCCGAGCCTTCGGCCCCTTTGTACGGCGTCCCAACATCACCGTAGCGCAGGGCAAAGCCCTCGGCTTCTAGAAGGCGCTGGAACTCCTTCACGTCCATACCTGGCCTTGGGCTGTTGTGAGTTTTTGCTGGGCTTCATTTCGCTTTTTGGGGGCTTCAGTCCCGTTTTAGGGTGTTCAAGGTTTATGGTACATAGTTTGCAGGGAAAGCGCACCCTGAACCCAAAACCCTGGTCCCCGAACACACCGAGCGATGTCCAAAAGACTGCATCAGCACGAAGTCTGCGTCGTAGTCCCACGGAATCACTTCGCCCCTGGGCCCACCAAGCCGTAGAACACTCCTGGGCCGGGCAGACGGGTGCAGGGTTCAGGCCCACCCCAGCCTGAAGAAGGGCTGAGGATAGAGACTTAGAGAGTTCTGAGCCTGCTTCCATGAAGATTATATATATGTGATTAGATGATCATGTGATGCGCGTCATGCCATACACAGATGGCCTGCAGCATGCGATACAGTGGCGACGTCGCGACCAACCAAGCAAACCTTCCAGCTTGTGGAGCGGTTTCCCGGATTCATTGTCGGATAGCGGTCCGGTGACAATGAGCCTGCTGCATGATCTCCAACTGTACCACTATTGCCAAGACCTTTTCCCGCATTGATCGCAAGTGGGCTTGATGCCCTTCAATGTGTTTGTTCACTACTTTGTCGGTGAGGAGGTCAAGTTCTCAGTAGCTTTGAAAGCCCTGGAGATACGGCTTCCGGCTCCGCCCTCCCCCGCGGATACCCGCAGGTTAGTCTGATGATTACTGCTCAGACCCCTGTGCACACAGCCAGGCCCCCGCAGCTTCCCAGAATTCATCTTTGCCAGGCAAGCTTCAATGAGCTTCCGAAAATGGGCAGGAGCATTCCCGTCGGGCTGCGGAAGGCTTCCCAAACTTCCTTCAGCTTCTGCATGGCGTGCTTCCTTGGCCACCGACTTTCTCAAGCCCTAACCCTCAATCAAGAACAACCCCAACCCCTCACAACCTCCAAAACCCTTGCAGTCGCTTTTTTCGCAGGCTTATAAGACTATAAGACTCCACAGCATGACTGCCGAGACTTGAGCCATAGGTTGAGGACATCTTGGATGATGTGAGTTTTTTGGTTTACAGGGCCTTTGTACGGGTCTTCCTTGAGTGGTTCCGAGCCCCTGCCGACGTGATCCCGGCGGCGGCTTCTGTTCGTTCTCTTTCTCGCAGGGATGCTGTTGGGGTTCTTTTGCATAGAACCCCATGAATCAATGAACCTATAGACAGGCGCTCGAACCCGAGCTCCAACCCAGAAGCCCTCTAGACCGCAAACCCTACACAGGGTTTTGGGTTTAGTGCTTTGGCTTGCAAGCGCTAGACCTTTCAGACAATCAAGAATTTTAAAGGCTAAGCCAAGACCGGCCGCATCGCTTGGGGCTAGGCTTCAGGCTTTACATAAGCGTCGGAAACTTCTCAACACCAAAGGCTGGCGTCAGCGCAAGTCGCATGCAAAACGGAACCACCATGCCGACAGCATTTGCAAAGAGCGCCTCGTCGCCGTTCCATGGTGCGATGCACCTCTTGAGTCTTTAGGGTGGGCTGGACCATCTAGGATCTGGCTCAAGGATCTCAAGGTGCAGAAGAGACTTATAAGTATGACCCTGTACGACAGAAGCAGTATGCCCAAACCTCTGAACCCCAAACCTTACTAAGTGCTTGAGGCACCTGATTTGCGCCTCCATGTCCGGGTGAAACCTTGCTGCTTCGATGTCGTAGCTCCTGCCGGCACAAGAGGCTTGACATTCTCTTCATACGTTGGCGAACATGAACCCACGTTTGGGCTCTGGAGTTCTCAGGTTGAGGATGAGTGCCAGGCTGGCTCCTGGCAAGGGAGGCCCCGAGCGTGGTGTGAAGCAAGTAGGACTCCTCTTCCAAGATGGTGCCGCCCGAATTCACACAAGTGATGGCGGTGCCTTTATGGCTTTTCAGCCTCAGGTCAAGGCCCAGCATCCACGCAGACCCCAGCTGCGCACTTTGCTGGGATGAACTCAGAAGCCTCCGCAGCACAGAGGAGTTGTACACCCGAGTCCCGCTGGTGGTGTCGCCACCGAAGCAGTGCGACATGTCTTCAAACTTAGGTGGATGTGCCCAAGAGCGATATGCAAAAGGATATCGGACAACGGACAGCTTCCAATAGGCACGCCGCAGCTGCAGCACGGGCCATGCCCAAGTCCCGTTTGCCGAGGTGGGGAGGCCGACGACCTTCGCGCGCGGATCCGCATGCACTAAGAGAGTCTGAAAGTGAAGCCCGAGACCTTCCTCCAAAATATTGAAATCCCTTATCATGGGAGAGACGAGCACGACGGCACCAATCTCCAGCGCATGGAATCTGTTTGCACGCAGGCGTTCGTCGTAGAAACGGAAGCAGCTTGCCAAGAGGTCGCTGTCACCGAGGAGGCTGCTTGAAGGATCATGCAGTGACAGTGCATAGTTCATCCCGACCATCATCAGCAGGTGAAAGGCAAACGAAGTCACCTTGGGACCACAATACAGGATGTGGCCCAGCAGCGTCCGCGAGTTTCCCGCGAACCACGAAGGGACACAATGGACCCCCGCAGGATGCTGCGCCTCGCCCCTGCAGCGCGCGTGGTACTCCTCCCCCAGCGACCTCCACGACTCCTGCCGGGTCTGCAGGGCATTTGCGACCGCACGTGCGGGTGGCCTCACGCAGCAGCGCTCAGCTGAGAAGTCCGCTCCGAAGCAGACTGGATTCTGCGTGTGGCAGCACCAGCTTCTAAGAGGCCCGCTGGCATAGACCGTGCCTCTCCCACCGGTGGAAGCCCAGCAACGAAGTGTTTCAAGAAGCCAAACACTGGGTGCCTTGGCTTCCGTGCCTTACTTTCTAAGAACTATTATAAGAACTAAACATATTCTCGACGCCGATTACGCCTCACAATTTGCAAAGACCTCAACTATTGGTCAAGTCGCAGCAGGAGCTCTCCGCTCCACCTGTTGGGCAGCCCTCGACGCGTTGGTCCAAGCAGCAGGTCAAGAAGGAGGCTTTGCCAGTGAAGCAGGGACTGGAGGGACTTGAGGGGCTCGATGGGCTCGAGAGCACTAGCGCAGCCATAGCAAGCTGGGTTCATCAGGCCAAGAGGGGGCTTAGAGGCGCTTAGGGTTGCGTAAGCTAGATCACTGATTCAATATACATATACATATATGTATGTTAAATGGGCTTTAGCATGGAGAGAGAGAGGGTGTGGTTTACCTATCGATACAAGACACAAGCTGGGGGGCACTTGTGTCTTTGCCTGAGCCCTGACTTGCAACAAAACATCTGTAACAACTCGCCCCTGTGCATGAAAGATGAAAGTTCAGCGGGCTTTGACTTGGGGTTCAACTTAGGTCGAAGCACGAGCCAACCTTTTTAACCAGCATGATTCACCTCGCTGTACAAGGTGACGTGTAGTGACACAGTAAGTCTAGCATGTTGCAAGGCAAACATGTCCAACTGTACAACGGGGACAGGTCCGCTGCACCACTTCGATTCAACTAGTACTTCGTTCGTGCCTTCATCCTCGTAGGCACGGACTTTTGTATCATTTGCTTGCTGAGCTTCTGAAGGCACACCTGCCGTTCAGCTTCTGTTCGCAACTCACGCAATTCCTGCCTGTGCTGATAGACTTCCTCCTGGCCAAAGTTGTGAGCTGCTGCCTGCATGAGTGCCTCCTCAGAGGTATTTATGCGGGTCAGTTCAATCCAATGCCCCATGCTGGTGACAAGTTGGCCGCCGGAGGGGTACGTGAGGGTGACATGACCAGCTACCCCGCGCTTGCTGCAGCTGTCGTAGTTGATCTCACACTTCATCGCTTCTGGTACAGTCCCGCTGCCGGACCACTTGTCAACGACTGTGAGCACCTGCACAAAAAGCAACATGCCGGCGCTTGGGAATGACTGGACCCAACCGTCGGAGGAGGACGGGACATTCATGTGTGGTAGGTGTGCACGAGGGTTTCCATTTCACTTACAAGATTTGCTCGCTGCAGTAGGAAATTCAGTCATAAACACTCAATAGTCGGAAAAGAGCGTACGTTGCAGTATGCCGCAAAAAAAAAAACCGGCCTGCAGCTGATACGCGTCTGTCTGCGGACGTCTAGGATTCACGGTGTAAAGGATCGTATCGCTCATTGCAGCAACGACAGCCTTTCCATCTGCAGCACAAAGCTCCCCGACAACTTGAAGCTGCCTTCGTCGAGGCTTCATTGAGGCTCCCCATCGGCTTCCCTCTTTGAGACTTTGAGTTTAGTCTTTGCACGAGTCTTCTCGTTCTATTCTTGCGCTTCTGATGTTCGGCCTAGTCTGTCTAGCGTGTTCGCATTGTTGGCATCCCTCCTGCACCTCGCGGTCATGGCTCTCTAGTTACTAACTGAGTCTCTAACTAACAAAGTCCACAGAGGCCTTGTTTCGTTCTCGGGCTGTGAATGTGAATGCTACATAATGCGTCGCCGAAAGGCTGGGGAACCTCATCATGTTTCAACTGATCTGGGAAGAAGTCCAGCTGGAATTGGCGATCACACTGGCACGGAAGAGTGACGAAAGGGTTTGCACCCAGCAAGTCCTCCGACCACTCAGACAGCAATGCTTTGAGGCTGAAGTCGGAACACATCACCGTGAAGCCTCGCTGCAATGCATGGCTGATCAGTTGCATGTTCACGCTTGGTCCCACTTGTGCCCGGCGTCGGCCACCAAATTGTCCACGGGCAAAGCCATGAGGACCGCAGGCCCCACAGCATTCCCAGTTGAAGGTAACACTGTCTGCAGCTACGCTATTGATGTCGTCCAAGAGCTCTCTCCAACCCAGCTCCGCAGCCTGCCGACCCGTGAGAAGATCCAAGAGCTGTCCAGCATCATGCAAGTTCACCGAGTAGGTGCTAACTCGCTCACCTGGTACCGTCTCCGGCCTCACCTCCCGGAAGTTCTCATCGTATGAGACGTCTGCAGATATCGTGACGATGACCGCAACAAGCTTGTCCTGGCGATCGTCTACCTCATTGAATAGCTTCTGAAGCACAGCTGGACCTTCGGGCTCAGGTTCTGGAAGATCTGGAAAATCCACTCTCTCGCCATCAGACTCCGAGGCCATGTCCTCTGTTTTAGCCTGAAAACGGCCAGCAGCGGCTCTCGAATCTCGGCTCGCTCTCTTCTTCTGCCGGGCTTAGAGGCTTAGAGAGCCCCTAGGGACCCTGCGCGCCCGAAGTTCAGGGCCTCCGTGAAAGTAGCCCCCCAGAGGCGATCACAGCTGTCAGAGGTTCCCCTGAAACACCTACCCCGAGACTCTCCTTTGGTGGTTTCGTTGTGGGTCATTGTCCCCCGATCCTTCCTTGTGGGTGTGAGTGACTCTCTCTCTCTCACTTCTGCAGCCTCTTCTTCTCCTCAACTCTCACAGATTGCTAAAAGTACATCATGAAAACTGCAGCATCACAAATGCTCAGCCGGGGAGCGGTGCACCACTCTGTGATCGGAGACTTCTTTGTCTTCGAATGCTTCGCACCAAAGACGCCGAAACAGGAGAGTTTCGAAAGCATTCCGAAGATAGGGGACGGGATATGCAGAGGGCAGAACAGGGTTGTCAGGAAGTCTGAGCCAACACTGCGCCTGAACTTCGAGCACCAACCGAGCATGACTGTACAGAGCGTAAGAGGCATCACACGAGATGCGCCACCAAAGTCCCGATCTGCCAAAGCTGTTACCAGTAAGAATTCGTCATGCGCCATCTTTTTTCCACAAGCCGGACCCATGTCTGTCCAGGTTCTCCATGGCTTGCCAAGCGCAGCGGCACTTTGCCACCTTGCGTTCCCCCTCAGACGCGGTCGTCGTCGAAGTGCCATTTGGACCTTGCTCCCAATACAGCAATCCGTGGCTGCCACAGCCGTTTTTGAGAGCAACCTCCATGCAACCTGGAACACTCTCCATCCATGACTTCCACCCTTGTCTGTTTAACTGGGGCAAAAGGGCACATCGTAAAATCCATGGTTTGAGAATTCTGTCCAAAGGCTTTCACTGTGGATTCCCGTTCGAGTTCAGGGGCAAGCGTGCAAGGGGGCTTGGCTGCCCCTGTTAACCTAGGCCCACGCCCTTGTTTCAACAAGCGCTGCTCCATGCGCATTCCATACATAAAAGCTCAGGCAGTCGGTCAAAGCGGCCCAGTACTTTTCTGAAGCTTCGGCGAAAGTTGTGATAAGCACAAAGGGGCAGCTTTTTTTAATGTACTTGGCCGAATGGACGCATTGCTGTGGCCCCTGATCTCGTTCGATCGTTCAACTCGGCCCGCTTATCCAAAACCTCCTCGCGCCTGTCTCGTTCTACGTCATTGTGAAGCCACACACCAAGCGCAAGATGTAGGCCCAACGGCGTGTGGGAGAACCATCTCGTGCTATCTGCAGACCCTCTTCCGTTCCATTTCCGTTCCATTTCCGTTCCCAATGAGAACACCCGCAAAAGAAAGAACTACGTCCACCGAAATTCGGGGCTGTAGGAGCTTTGTGAACGGTCTCGCCAAATCAGGGGGTTGGACGGAGCGCCACCCCCCGGCCGCATGTTGCCTTGATGGGCACCAGGAGCAGGGTGTAGTTGCGGGCGATGACTGAGGACACAGCTTCACTCTCCCCCCCCCACCCCCCCTACTCCCCTCCCCCGCCCCTGTTTTTCTTACCCACACGCCTGTCTACTGCCAAAATGCAAAGAAACGCCTGACCGACTTGCCAGCTGTACTGAGCGTGTGATGCTGGTGACAATCAATACTTTGTCCACCGCACGCCCTTGACCTGCTATGAACCCCCCTTTGGGCCACTCTCTATGCCTGTTGAGGCGTCCTCTTTTGCAGGGACATGTAAGGACAATGTGGGGAGTTCCGGTACTCACGTTTGGAGGAATGGAAGCTCTGCAAGGAGCTTGATATGTCGGCTGTTGTAAAGGCGGCCCCGCCGAGGCGGGTCACGCAGCATCGTTGTCAAGAATAATCGCAAGTATTAGCAAGTATTTGTTCGGTGCAGCTTTGCCTCGTCGGAGAGTCCGACGCCGAGCAGTTCTAAGGGCCTTGCAGCTTCGGCGAGCGGTGCCCAACGCGCGAGACGTATGTGGCATCGTCCTGCACACAGATGAGAGAGAACGCATCGATCGTGAACTTGACTCATACACCACCAGGCTCTAAGTGGTTCTAAGGATTCTACGATCTGACTGAAGGCTGCATCTCTCGGGTCCCTGTCCTGCGGTCGCACTTTCTCTTGCGCACTGCTTAGCATTGATACAATGCTCATGCAGACGGCGTGCACCTTGCTGCACAGGGCATCAGCCATCCAGCTGTAGTAGTTCTAGTAGATCGATTCTAGTATGTCTTGCCCTCGATCGGTCTGAAGTCCTGCACGAGATCTAGCAGCGCACCCGAAGGACGAAACCTTACTTTACTCGAGCTAACCTAACCCTTTAATTACTCCAAGGGTCCGACCGTCAAGGCCGGGCTCCAAGCATCGTAGAGTATTGACAGGCAAATGTGCCTTGGAAGTTGGTTTTGGGGCTGGGTTCTGATGGCTTGGATGGGCTTCTAGTTTGCCATACGGTCTCGGGGCTTTTCGGATGCCAAGCAAGTAAGTGCAGTTCACGCACTCATGAGAGTAGCTATAGTGTTGTTTGGGGTAGAAGTCTCCATACATCCCTGTGAAGGACCTTCTTTGCATCACCTCGCTCTCATCGATCCAAATTGGTTCTAAGATGTTCTAAGAAAACCAGAGGTACCCATTGGAGTAGATGTGCGGGTGCTCTGGAGATGGGCCCTCGAAGACGACCTGGAACACATGCACAAAGAGCTCGGAGACTGCTGGAGAATCTATGCAAAACCCTGCAACTACAACCCTAACCATCGAATGAAGCTGCCATATGTCTGCCTCCGGGCTCTCCAAAGGATATCCTTAGTTGAGCACGGCAGACGCCGATACATTTTGCTCTTCTTGTCTCTTTCGGGAAGATGCTGCCAGGAGAGCAGTCATTCCTCTTTTCGGGCTACTGGTAGCACTTGGCAGGCGAGATTCTGGCCGGGAATGTAAACCGGAGAAGGAACTGCTCACCCGCGTAGATGGTGCCCGGAGCTGCAGCATGGGACAATCGAAAGAATCAGCGCAACTCTCTACCTCGGCACCTCCTGTACTAGTCCAAGTGCTCAGATCTGCTCCGTGCAGCGAACAGGTTCGGCTGAGCACCTCCAAGCACTTGAATACGCCAGGTTTCTTCATCGCATTCCTGAACAGCGATTCCATCCTGCAACGGCCGCACATGCCATATGCGACATTCTTGCAGACCGCTCAATGCTCCAGAATCTGCTGCTTATCCTTGCACTGCCTGGGTCAGAAACTCTCGGACTTCTCAGAGAGAGAGAGATTCCAAGGCATGTCCTCGCTTCCGCGGGCTTTCAAGCTCTCCAGCTCCTGTGCACGGTGGGAGGGGACTTCTCGAGAGATGAGGCGAATCCTTAGACTAGTTGGCAAACAGGTCAGTAATAAGCCCATATGCCATAACACAAACACTCAAGAGAAGCAGCTTTCAGACAGCCTTCATCAAGCTGCTACTCTACTGGGGGCCTATGTTGGCCTGGGTCTCGGTGACAGGAAGCATTACAAAGCATTGCCGGCAGCAAAAAAAGGAGAGTATCGCCGCAACAAGATCACTCATTATCATCGCCCGATCCAATCCCTAATATGCAATATTTAGCACCAGCCGCAAATTCACAGTCACATCAACCTCATGTAGGAGCATTACAACAACCATTACCACCTCAATAGAGCAAGTAGAAAGAAGAAGCGCTGCCAAAACTCGCGTGACAGATAGAAATCACCAACACAAAGAATGCACTACCAAATGTCCGACTCGGCCGTGCTTTGTCGTCATCATCAAGTGCGCCAACTTTACCACGAAAACCACAACAGCAACAACAAGCACAGAAAACACATCACCACAGCAAAGTGCTCAAAAACACATCTTTAAAGGAAGGAGCAGGAGAAATTAATCTCTGCACCAAGTAAAATTCACATATGTACGATTGCAAGGTACCTCCTCCACATGCTCGAACCCACCAGTATGTCACTGGACCCTGAAGCCTATGGCACGACACTACCCTGAGCACAGGCATGCCTTCTGCAAGCGCTTTCTGAAGGGAGTTCTTGAAGGTAATGAAGCCTGACGAGCCATGCTGTCGGGGTGAAGAGTGACACGTGGGCTCAACTTTGGGGCCTGCCTCGCTTGCCATGAGCACATCAGGTGCCCCTCATTGCCTGGCACCATGCAAACCACATGAAACCTGTGCACCGAGGAAACGTATAAACAACATACTGTGCCCGGATGACCGGGCACTGGCTCGGCTGCCCATGGCTCGGAGAGCAGCGCACCACAAGTCTCATTATTCCAGATGCAACATTCTGTTTCTCACTGCCCTGTTGCAGCACTGCTACAGTAGAGATAACAGCCGCGTCAGCACATGCAAGTATCAATATGGTTTTCACGTGATTCGAGCGCCGCGGCTTATCTGGTTCGCGGCTTGTTGTTTGCTGGAGTTGCCGGCCCCGTTCTCTGTAGCCCTTGATCGGTATGATGTTTCTTCTGTACACCAGCCTGATGTCGACGGCGTGCGCCTGCGTGCTAAAGCCTGGAGCCATCGGTTCGCAACGAAAGCACTGCCTCGCAGGCCTCCTTCTGGTTGCAATATGGGGTCTCTAAGAGGAAAACCCAAGGATTCACCTGGCTGTTGCTTTGCAACCCGCAATTTTTGGATGCTGCTCAATCCTCGGTCGGGTGCAGTCTATCGCGTGGGCACGAAGCTGCGCTGGACAAGGTGCCCATAGTGCAGCTGTTGCCTCCTAAGCGTGACACAAGGATCGCGCAGAGAGTCTCTTCATCTCCAAAGGCCTTTTGTTGGCAAACTATCTGTCGCATTCTGGGTTCAGCCTCTCTGGCATGTTGCAGTGGATGGCCAGTTGCTCACCAAACTCGCCAGCTGGTAAATACGCAGGCCTTCATCAAAGTCAAGAGTTGTCCTTGACTGGCCTGCCATTGTCTAATTGTACCGCATGTGCTCGAAGAAACCTTGAACAACACATGGAGCGAACTGCTATGATGGTTCTCGTTGGTGCATCTAAGCCTCTTGATATGAAGCATGTCCATCGGCAAAGCAGCTTGGCTGCGCCAGGAGATAAATAACATACGAACGAGTTGCCGCTCTCCTGGCTATCATTCTGGCAAGCAAGCATAAGGTGTCCGCTTCGTCTACACGTTCTACACACTTTGTTCATTCGACTTGGTCTCTGGCCCACCCAAAAGGCACCCCCCTCCCCCCCCCCCCCTTGTGTGAGCTGAAAACGCAGCAGTCCGATGCTTTGGCCGCCCTTCCTGAGACCCCCTGCCTCGGACCTGGCAGACACTGTGGATGGGAAAGATGGGCCAGGAGACAGGAGTATACAGCAGCATGAAATTTAACATCCCCACGTCGAGGGTGGGTAAAAACAGCACACAGGACAATTGTTAGATGCCCGAGTCACAAACAAAGGCAAACAAAGCCAAAGCGAAGCGCAAGCTCGATACAGTCCCCCAAAACACAACGCCACTGGCCTTGGGCTCCCCGGTCTCCAAAAAGCAATCTCTCGAGAGGCAACTGTTCCGGGCCCAAGCAAAAGATAACTTATCTTTCCAGGTCGCCACCAGCTCGAGACAGTCCAAAAAAAGTAGCTGCTCAGCAGCTGCACTTTTGAGATTTCTGTTTCAGAGTGTTTTCGAGAGACCGGCGGAGGGGGCTGGTGCGAGAAGTCCGGAAGAACCTCCACTGTGGTCGAAGTTTCGCAATTTCGAGTACATCTCGTGGTGGGCACTCTGGAGAAACTCTGTGAGATTCTTTGCGGCTCTGTGGGATTGATTTTCTAGGGCTTCTCTGATGATGGGAGATCCGGGCCAGGAGGCCGGGGGACGAGGAATTTTGGAGACCGGCGAGGAGAATAGTGTTGTTGAAGTCTACGCACCCCCCCCCCCCCGCCCATACCAGGAACAGGGGGAAGGGCGAGGGGAAGGAATAGGCCCAGGGCCAAAGAAGGGTGGGGGGCACACTATCCACAATCCACACACACACACCACGTCACAAAAGCCTCCGAGACTGATACTGAGTCATGATGAGTCATAGTATCATGGCCAGCTTGATAGCCAAGATTTCGTCGGGCAGGAAGCTAAGGGACGCTCAGGTTTCAAAGTCGCCGCTCCATCCACAGTGGACCTGCAGGACTGGGGGTGGTGGAAGAGTTGCGCTTGTCATCGCTCCATGTCTCAACTCTCAGCCCTCCGATTCAGCAATCTCACGCCTTCAAGTTCATGTAGCCCGTGGCACATGAGCAAGATCCTGCCAATGTTATGTCGGCGGAACGCTGCCCTACCGCTGTCCAACATGTCCAAGTGCTGGCATGTCGCAACAGAACACAAAAAGTGTTTCAATGCGCGATTCCTTGCACTGATTGCTAAGGGCAACTGTGCTTTGATACTAGTGACTAGTGGGAAAGTCGGAAAGTGGGTAAGCAGAATGTAAAGAAAGGTCTCGGTAGAACTCGGGATTCGGAAGCACAGCGCTTTGATGGTATGCAGACCAGGCCCCAACACCACCCGTCCCGCAGACCACCCAGTTTCCGTAGGGCACCTCTCACCAATTTAAAAATCACTGGGAGGGAAGGTGCTGTGCCGCTATGCAAGCCACGCGAGGCTTTTGTCCTGTAACCTGCTTGCCTGCACCTCCTGCTTGCACTGGACAAACTGCGTGCATGCCAGGAGGAGTTACATGGTGATGTAGTTGTTCTGCAACAAGCGAAACCCAGATACTATGGCATTATGTGGAAGTGCACAGGGGCATGTGAGTGTGCGGAAGTGGGAGGGCCAAGCGTGCCGAAAACTGCTGCATGGAAGACTGGACCATCTGTACTCGCCGATAGCGCTCCTTGACCCAAATAGCGCCGGGCCGCGCCGGCGGCAAAGGACCAAGGAAAATCACAGGGAGCCCCCTAAGAATCCATGAGCTGAGGTGAAGAGGCAGAGATCTCTTCGCATCTGTGCATCTCATTCTGGCTGTGCCATGTGCTGCCCCTTGGTCAACTCAGCTCATCCACAAAACACATGTCTTACTGCCACAAGGGTGAGACGACTTGCCAGTCAGGGTTTCATCGCACAGCTCAGAAAGCCACTGTCGAGCACAATGGGCATACAGTGGCAGATACATATGTATGGCCGGATGCTCGCTGCATCTGGCCTTGCCATGTCCAAAGCTATTGAAAACACAGTAAATACTCAAGAAGGTGATTGACCTGAGGGCGTCAAGCTAGCATTGTTCATTGCAGGAGCAGTGCTGGAGCATCGCCCACGTACGGATAAAGCGTCTTTCCAAAGATGGGAGCCTGATCAACATGTAGGCCCGTTGAAACCCTCATCTTTCAAACATGAAGGACCCATGAGGGATCAGCCTCCCACATATTCACATATATTCACTGCACAGCGCGATCCAGGCCTAGAGGGTCAGAAGCCTGTCGCTCGGAGCAGTTCGGATACTACCTACCTCTGGTGCACGACCCAGTGCGAACAGGTGCCTTTCGTGGGCACTGGATGATCCCGCCAAACCTGATGCTCTTCTCTCTCCACCACTGGCAAGCGCCGCATGACACAAGTGACAAATTATGCATGACAGAAGCATGAAGCCAACCACAGTTAACTTGCAAACTTGAATAGCTACTGAGCGAACACAATATCCAAGACAGGAAACGAAACATTGAAGGACGGCACAAGTAGACCGCTGCATTGGATGTTCACTGAGTTTACTGTGTCTGTGGACAACTGCTTTCAATCTGGGATGCAGGCACCGCCAGGTGGTCTTCCGCCGACTCCAACCTGAGAAGCTACACGACTTGGGGGACTGTGGTTACAGGGTTCGGGGAATGTGTGCTGGTCAGGTGCAGTGTGCATGGCTCAGGCTCACACGCCGGCAAGGACAGGGCGCTTCTTGTGTGCGCTGAAAATTGTCCTGGTCGACCGCTGCGAGCACGGAAGCCTTGAACTCAATTCTTGTATCGGCCTAGGAGTAAGGTAAGCAGTCCTCCCATCACGGCCTGGCCCAACGCCCTGCACCTGCGCTTCGGCACTGTTGCAGACAGCACACCAGAGCATGGCTCGTTTTGCTTCATCTTCTTCTTATGCTAATCTGCTGACCCTTCATTCCCCCTTTGTCATTTTGTATGTCTTTCTTTCA